AAATAAATAAATAAATAAATAAATAAATAAATAAGAAAAAAGAAAAAAGAAAAGTTTTGGCAAGAATATGGAGAAATTGGAACCTTTGTATATCTTGGTGGGAATGTAAAATCGTTCAGTTACTATGGAAAAGAGTATGGTGATTCCTCAGAAAATTAAAAATGACCCATCAGTTTCTAAAGAATTGGAAGCAATATACACATATATGTGTATATATGTGTGTGTGTATGTATCTAGATATATACGTATATCTATATGTGAGTATAGATGTAGATATGTAGATGTGCATATAGATATAGATATATAGATGTATATATAGGTATATATCCTGGAGATATATCCAGATGGATTGGCAGCAGGATCTCACAACCATGAGTGATTACACACCCATGTTCATAACAGTGTTCATAATAGCAAAGAAGTAGAAGCAACCCAAATATTCATTGACAGATGAATGGATAAACAAAATCTTTTTACACACAATGGAATACTATATAGCCTTAAAAAGGAAGGAAGTTCTGACACATGCTAAAGCACGGATGAACCTTGAGGACATAAATAAACTGGTCATAAAACATCGAATACTGTATGATTCCACTTATTTAAGGCCATCTAAAGAGACAGATTCATAGAAACAAACAATAGAATAGTGGTTGCCAGTGGGTAGAGGTAGGGGAGTTGTTTTCTAAGGATAGAGTTTTACTTAGGAAAGGTAAGTTTTGGAAATTGGTTGCACAACAGTGTGGACATACTTAACACTACTGAATGGTATAAAAAGGAAAGGGTTAAGTTGGTAAATTTCTTTTTAAGATGTAAATTTTGTGTTATATCTTTTATCACACTAAAAAGAATAATGTTTTAAAAAGTCACCTGTTGGGGCGCCTGGGTGGCGCAGTCGGTTAAGTATCCGACTTCAGCCAGGTCACGATCTCACGGCCCGTGAGTTCGAGCCCTGCGTCAGGCTCTGGGCTGATGGCTCAGAGCCTGGAGCCTGTTTCCGATTCTGTGTCTCCCTCTCTCTGTGCCCCTCCCCCGTTCATGCTCTGTCTCTCTCTGTCCCAGAAATAAATAAAAAACGTTGAAAAAATAAATAAATAAATAAAAAGTCACCTATTAAATATTGTGATTTAATTGTGTTCTATCTGGGGGCACTTGGCTGGCTTAGTTGGTAGAACCATGTGACTCTTGATCTCGGGGTTGTAGGTTCAAGCCCCCACATTGGGCATAGAGATTACTTAATAAAAGTTTTTTTTCTTTAAGTCATCTATTATTATGTACTAGTGACTGTACTAGGTGTAAGTCATACAGAATGAATAGAACACAGTCCTTGATCTCACATATTGATATTAGAAGGTGTACCTTACTGCAGTTATAATCATCTTCCCACTCAATATTTAATGGTTAATATTATGGTATTCCTGATAGATCATTCTGGAAGCATTTGTTAGTGGTAGTTGCTGCTGTTATTAATGTTGTTAAGTACAGCACCACTTTAAGACCTTCACCAAGAGTTAAGTCCTAGATCTGGACTTTTAGCACTGAATTTGATCAAGGATGCATAGCTTAAGTGTCAAAATTTTATTGGAAATAATTGATGTGTCGTGGTAGTTTAAAGTAAATGGAGTTTGACTCTTCAACCAGATATTGAGTTAGGTGATGTGGGGGTGATTCCTTGCTTTTAAGCTTATCTACCCTAAGAGGCAGGACACAAGTTTATGTAACACCTGCAGAGTAATTCCAAAGTAACACAGGTACCTTTATATAGATGTTACTTGGCTTTCTGGTCTTAAGTATGGAACATTTACACTTCACTTGGTTGTACATTACAGGAAGGCCGAAGTTACACTGGATGGAGTTTGGCCAACAGATAAAACATCTCGCTGTTTAATAAAGAGCCCAGATCGACTTGCTGATATGAACTATGAGGGCAGATTGGAAGCAGTTTCAAGGAAACAGGGAGCTCAATTCAAAGAGTACCGTCCCGAAACAGGTTCTTGGGTGTTTAAGGTATATAGTCAACTTAACCTAGTTTTTGTAAACTGTAGTTAAACTGACAAAATGTGTTAGAAGAGTCTCTCTTAAATTCTTTTCATTTTTACAAATTAGGAAACAGATGTAGAGGTACATTATGATTTGCTCTAAATTACATATGTTAGTTAAACACCAGAACAATAAGGAGCTATTAAAAACTTTTATGCTGATGATTCACATCCTCTACCCCATCCTGTGAGCATGTAGATACACTTCTAAGGAGTGGTTTTTCTAATGTGTGACATCCTTAGAGACATGAGGCATAATTTTTGTCTCTTGATACCAACTCTTCCTAAATTGTCATTCATTTAAAGATTTTTGGGGATGAAGACATTGACTTCCTCCCTTCCTTGATAGTTTAACCCAGTGGTTTCTTTTCTTCTAGGCCAGTTGGATTATTTAACTAGTTGAAGGTCCTTGTGTAGGTAGTGAACAACTAGGCAGCATATAGAAATGAAAATAGTAGCAGTGTTTCTGGATTTGGTTTCCTGTATTAATAATTTAGTAATTGTATATGAGCAACTAGTACATGTACTAATCATCTAAATCTAGGGACAACAGTAAAGTATGATAGATGACATTGTGCCTTAAATATTATGATCTCTCTCTTTTTTTTTTTTTTTTAAAGCTAATTCTGCAAGATTGTAAGGACAAGTATTGTGGAAGCTCTTAGGAATATAAGTGTTAAAATTGATTTTGTTGATTCTGAGGCGCTTGGCTGGCTCAGTCAGTGGAGCATGTGGCTCTTGATCTTGGGGTTGTAAGTTTGAGCCCCACACTGGGTATAGAGATTACTTAAAAATAAAATCTTTAAAACATTTTTTTGATTTTGTTGGATTCTTCTCTTCCTTAGGTCTCCCATTTCTCTAAGTATGGCCTTCAGGATTCTGATGAAGAAGAGGAGGAACGGCCATCCAAAACTAGTACAAAGAAGTTGAAGACTGCCCCTTTGCCTCCTGCAGGCCAGGCCACCCCATTCCAGATGGCTCTTAATGGCAAGCCAGCACCTCCACCCCAGGTAGAGACAGGACAGTGAATTTGAATGGAATCCGTGATACAGAAGTTGAAAGCAAGTCATTCAGCTAGTACAAAGCTGTTTTATGACCCCTGGAACTTTGAAGAGTACAAATGTATTGGCAGTCACGTTGAGACAAGTACAAGGGAGGGCATGGTGTGGTCCTGACATCTTTTTTTAAATTGAGAGATTTAAGGAATTCTCATGCTGTTTGGATCATTCCTTCTACAGATTATCATTCTTAAACACCTCCCTCTCTTTCATTTGGACTTGCTGAATTCTCTGCTCAGTGATCAACTTAAGATAGCATTTTGCTTGTGTGGGTTGATACAAAGTAAATTCTACTTTTGTTGACTATCTGATGTGCAGTTTAATCTTGTTCTTTACCTCTGTGGTTTTTTAAAAGTTCAATTCGCTTTCTGCAAGGGTTTTTTAACTCCATTTTTCTCAAGTTGTTTGCTTATACTTCAGGTAACCTCTTAATATTTGTATTTTAACAATACATAATCTTTCTGAATATAGATCAAGTTTTAGAATATAAATGAATTATTTGGCGTGGGGAGAGTAGGGGCTACATTGTTTATTGCAATTACTTGTATCATACTCCTTTTCAGTATTGTTAAGCCAGTATAAACCTTTTGTCCATCTAGGGAAAGGTTTGTAATTTAAATATCAGGTAGTTTCTTTGCCAGCTCATGAAGAGTTTTACTTTCCTTTGGATGTCATTTATATTCAATCAAGTTACAAAAAAATTTTTTTCTTTGCTGCCATACTCCCTCAAAAAGAACTTAATATAGAATTTCTTTGTAAAGCATCCTCTACCTCTCAGCTGCTAAAAGCAGGGCCTTTGGAATTTTTTGTGCTACAATTCTTATGGCTGCTGAAATGTGCGATTTTTATGATTTATTAAATAATTTCTTGGGAGGCATTTTCTGGAGATTGTTGTGTATGTATGTTCATATTTGCGCGTACAAGGTGAGGGGGAGGGTATGATAAAAGTGGAAAATGGGAAATATATTGACTCTTATATTTATAATCTTTGTAGCATAAAACCCCTAAGAAATCTCTTCTGAACTAAAGAAATGCTGTAAATGGACTTGGTTTTCCAGTTTTCCATGTTCATTTTTTCTGAATCATATGCTTTGTATAATCTCTTTCATTCCAAAGTGTTTTTTTATCTTACATAATATGTATTTCTAGAATAAGAGTCAGGTAGCCTTCTTTTCTGCTAATAAAAGTAATTGTTAAGATCCTGAAGATGCAGCTGAGAAAAAAAAACTTCATCCGTGGATAGAGCAAATTTATGTAATGTGTCTTGACAACCAGTGATTTTTAGGCTGTTTAATTTCCAGAATACAAATAGTAAGGGAAAACTATACGTTTCTATGATGACACTTTCATAGGTGAGAATTTTTAAGAAACTGAGTACCATATAATTTCACAAGAACCAGGTTGTAGTAAAAAGAGACTTCGTAAGGATCAAAATGGGCAAAGAGAATACAGTGAATGGGATCTGTTTCAGATATCTCCTTTGATTGAAGAGAAGTGGGTGGTCTTTGGATGGCGAAAACAGGAATGGGAATAGTGGGTAGAGCTGTTTAGATATTAGGCTAACGTATTGGAACAGTAATGAAGGACTTCCTTCGTATTGCCCAGTGAGATAGGTAGGAAATGGTAGTGGTTGCATAGCTTTTAGTAATTTGCACCAAGACCTACATCTTACTGGGCACGAGGAAAACACTTGAACCATCTGGACGAACTGGGAACAGACTGCACTGTCTTTTCATCCTAGTGTCAAGATGATTCTCTACACACTGTCACCTGGCCCCCTGGGCAGCTTGATTTCAGGGACATGGTGTTCCTCCACCTCCAGTCTGCCATAGCAGTTTTTTTTTCCTCCTGTGTACAATTTCAGGTTCTCAGAATTGGGGGCTAGGGGTTTTTTAGGTATTAGGAAGATTTACATTTTTGTATAATGGTCACTTTATCCCACTGCCTCGTGTATAACATCATTTGTGTCTTTGTAGTTTGTTCTTAAAGCTTTGATTTGCTTCTAAATAGGTAAATCAAAGCAACCAGAAAACATTAAGGTAACTAAATCTTCATGTAGTCTCTTCTGTGCCTTTGAAGTTACAGAAAGTGTTGGCATAAAAACCTTCATCACACAGATAAATTAGGGCAGTTGCAGAAACATTTGGTAGTTAGAACATTATTTCCAAAATGCTGATCTGAGATTTAGTTTTCAGCTGACTGGATCACTCCTTTGGTTACCTTTGATTCCATAGATAGGCATGGGGCTCAGGCATATTTATATTTTAAATGCTTTCCCCCAGGTGATTGAAATATGCATCGAGGCTTCAGAACCATTTGTTTAAAGACCTCAGATAGCACTCAGGGAGAGAGATTTTACCTATAGCTTTTTACCTCCACCTCATACTGAACTGTAACTTGTGTTCAGTATCAACACTGAGTAGTTGACTTGCTCAGAAACTTAGCGTTGTTCATTCAGTGAGTACCTGCAAATGAGTTAGGAATTTTTTTCAAGGGAAAAAGTGATTAGGATTTAGAAGAAAATTAACATTTCATCTTGTGTATACTTTTTAAAATTAGTCAATTTTATTTTGGGAGAGAGAGCACCCACGTGCCAAGTAGGGGAGAGGCAAAGGGAGAGGGATGGAGAGAATCTTAACCAGGCTCCACGCTCAGCACAGAGCCCAATGCAGGGCTTGATCTCACTACTGTGAGATCATGACCTGAACTGAAATCAAGAGTCAGACGCTTAACCCACTAAACCACCCAGGTGCCCCTTTCTTGTGTATACTTTTTAAAAGTAAAGTGGCAGCTGTCTATATTTATCCACTAAGTAAATGTATATGTGATTATCCATTTTATATTTTTATGTAATATATTATATATATATAAAAAATAATTGTATACCAGAAGTCTTTTTGCTTCAGATATTAATATTGTCATGTCTTATACTTAATTGTAATATCCCTGAATGTACGTGTAGAAACATACACACTTATTTTGGTGGGCCCTTGAAACCACGACATGGAATCTTTCCTGAGAACACAATAATGGTGACAAGGCTGATTTTCCAGCCAAATGAATATAAAACATTCTTTGCAGTTAGAAAACAAGTTATTCTGGGGGCACCTGGGTGGCTCAGTTTGTTAAACATTTGACTTTGGCTCAGGTCATGATCTCACTGTTCATGGGTTTGAGACCCATGTTGGGCTCTGTGCTGACAGTTCAGAGCCTGGAGCCTACTTCGGATTCTGTGTCTCCCATTCTCTCTGTCTCTCTCTCTCAAAAATAAATTAAAAAAACATTAAAAAAAATAAAAGCTATTTTGGAAGCTGGCAATGGTAATAGGTATACTATATTAAACTATTTGGTGAGGACAGTATGAATTATTTAAATACCTGTTTGACCGTGGATTGGTTGTTTACCCTTTGTTGAATAAAAAGTGTCATGATTTACTTTACCTACTTGAATTACTTTATCTACTGGATTAAGACATGTTTTATCTTTAGGGTATTGGCAGCTTTGTTCGTATGAGAAAGATTCTCTTGAGGTGGAAAGTGGAGGTTTCTAAAATCCCTGAAGGTTTCAGTGATGAAATCTCACCTTCCATGTATCTAAAAAGACAGTTATTTTACAGAAATTATCTGTGTACTTAGGATTTACAATGTACTGTGCTGGTATTTAGACATAAATAAGATCTACTTTCAAGAGATTACAGTATATGAAAGGAATATTCCATTTAGCTGCTTTTCCCAGTATTTGCCTTTCTTTTCCATAGATCTCACAAGGACTCCCCATTTTTTTTTAACTTCCTCAATTCCTTCTGAGCCATCTTTATTATTATTATTATTATTATTATTATTATTATTATTATTAGTCTACTTTTCTTTCCAGGACTGGTTTTGAAGAAGCACCTGATCTCCCAAGATCGATCAGAAAATAAGTACACAGGCATCTTTTGGGGGAGTTTACCGCAGTTGCTTAGATACACTTTAACAACATTCACTAATGGTTCTAAGAGCTTCCCAGCTCCTCATAGTTTCTAGTAATTCACTTCTCCCTTACTTATTACACAATACCTCAGAGCTTTAAAGTCTATGCATGAGAGTGGAGCAAATAAAACCTTGATCCTTACTTAGCATACTTCTGAAAAATATGCTGGGTCCCTTAGGTCTCCATTCGAGTTACTTGATGAAATACCTTCGTTTTGCCTTAAAGTGTTCTAAGTGAACATCTCTTGCTGCTGTTATTTCTTCGTTGAGTAGTGTAAGTTGAAACCATTCTCTCCTTTTTTCCTTTTCTCCCACCCATCCTCACTCCTTGTTCTTTCATGGTTATTAACTGCCCTTTCTGCTGTATGCCAGGCACTACACTAGGCAGTAGATTTGACAAAATGATGAATGTTGAATTTAAAATGTGCTTGGTGATAGATACAGAAAACAGTAGGCCGTAATCTCCGTTTTCAAGCCTTGACAATATGGTGGGACAGACATCACATATGCAAGAATTTATAGTATATCGTGATAGATCATAAAAAACAGGTTTAGACAGAATGTAATGGGAACCCAACAGTGGGAGGGTATTCTAACTGATAGGTTGACACACAGGATATGGAGTAGTTTAATAGCTTCCTAAAGTGAATTGGTTAAAAACTCTAATATACTAGGGACCCTTTGGAGTTAGAGTATTCCCATAATTCTTGTAAATAAAATGGGAGCATTGTGACCAGGGCTACTTTTTATTTTTATTTTTTTTCCAGAATTGTAGAGCATAAAGGTAGTCGCACTTGCCTTTAGCCTCTACAGTAGGTAAAAAAGAGTATCATTTTTGCCTTTCATCATTATCTAGTTTTGTTAGAGCTGTCCTTTGGGAATGTTCATATCTTCAGTTGCAATTCCCTATGCATCCAACAGTTCAGTTTTTCTACACTTATAAATGAAAGCAGTCATTCTTTCAGTAAGGATAAGTGTTAAAGGAATGCAAGGGAATAG